ATAACGTAATTACCAATTGTGTATTAATGTGGCACCGATTACTGTGTGCACTCACCTAGTTGTGCTTGCGGGAGTTGAGCTCTGGCTCTTTGGGCCCGCCTCTCAACTATCAATCAACTGTTTATATTTCTCTCCCTTCACCCTATCAGCCCGTAGCAGCGCTCGAGCTCCCAGGTACCTATTTACTGCTAGGTGAACATCAGTATCAGGGTTATCTTGAGGTTATCTTGAGATGATTTCGGGGCTTTAGTGTCCCCGCGGCCCGGTCCTCGACCAGGCCTCCACCCCCAGGAAGCAGCCCGTGACAGCTGACTAACACCCAGGTACCTATTTACTGCTAGGTAACAGGGGCATTCAGGGTGAAAGAAACTTTGCCCATTTGTTTCTGCCTCGTGCGGGAATCGAACCCGTGCCACAGAATTACGAGTCCTGCGCGCTATCCACCAGGCTACGAGGCCCCCCTCATAGACCATTTGTTTCCGCCTTCGCCGGAGATCGAACCCATACCCTTAGGACTATGAATCCCGAGCGGTGTCCACTCAGCCGTCAGGTCCGTAGAGGCGTGAGTGTGTGTATTGAACCCCTCGCCTATATGTGCTTCCAGTGAAAACTTGAGTTCTAGGGCCCCGCCTTTCAGCAGCCTGTCGCCTCTTGTAATGGCCCAGAAGCCTCTTCATACAACAATAACATCCCATCAACACATCAACAGCCTCATCAACACCAACCTGTCCTCTTACACATCACGTCTGAATTTGGCCGTCTGCCCGTAAGGCCGAAAATGGACGTAATTTGAACATGAAAAAATTGCAAATAAATCTGGAATTTTTTCCCAAAACTGTAAGTTAAGGGTCTTCTGGTAGGTCCCTCACACCCACACGGGACATCCCGTGTGGGTGTGGGACATCCCGTGTGGGTGTGGGACATCCCGTGTAGGTGTGGGACATCCCGTGTGGGTGTGGGACATCCCGTGTGGGTGTGGGACATCCCGTGTGGGGGTGGGACATCCCGTGTGGGTGTGAGACATCCCATGTGGGTGTGGGACATCCCGTGTGGGTGTGAGACATCCCGTGTGGGTGTGGAGACATCCCGTGTGGGTGTGAGACATCCCGTGTGGGTGTGGAGACATCCCGTGTGGGTGTGGAGACATCCCGTGTGGGTGTGAGACATCCCGTGTGGGTGTGGAGACATCCCGTGTGGGTGTGGAGACATCCCGTGTGGGTGTGAGACATCCCGTGTGGGTGTGGAGACATCCCGTGTGGGTGTGAGACATCCCGTGTGGGTGTGGAGACATCCCGTGTGGGTGTGGAGACATCCCGTGTGGGTGTGAGACATCCCGTGTGGGTGTGGAGACATCCCGTGTGGGTGTGAGACATCCACACATTGTAGCAAGTATTGCGCCTCATATTCTGAAATACCCGCTACTCTTATCTGTATCGTTCATTTCACATGGGACCGTGTACAACACTATGCCCCGCCCACTGTACCGTGTACAACACTATGCCCCGCCCACTGTACCGTGTACAACTCTATACCCCGCCCACTGTACCGTGCACAACACTATGCCCCGCCCACTGTACCGTGTACAACTCTATGCCCCGCCCACTGTACCGTGAACAACACTATGCCCCTCCCACTGTACCGTGTACAACTCTATGCCCCGCCCACTGTACCGTGAACAACTCTATGCCCCGCCCACTGTACCGTGCACAACACTATGCCCCGCCCACTGTACCGTGTACAACTCTATGTCCCGCCCACTATACCGTGAACAACACTATGCCCCGCCCACTGTACCGTGTACAACTCTATGCCCCGCCCACTGTACCGTGTACAACTCTATGCCCCGCCCACTGTACCGTGAACAACACTATGCCCCGCCCACTGTACCGTGAACAACACTATGCCCCGCCCACTGTACCGTGTACAACACTATGCCCCGCCCACTGTACCGTGTACAACACTATGCCCCGCCCACTGTACCGTGAACAACACTATGCCCCACCAACCTGATCCTGGCAACGACTGTGCCGCACAGTCTGGTCCACGTGTGGTGCTGTCCCTAAACATAGGCTTCAGACTTGAACAAATCATTAAGGCCACATACATCAGTGGGTGTAAGTCTACGGTGTTCACCCTCCAGGTTTAACTAACTATTCTTCAGTCACCTAGCCCGCCAAACACACACCGAAACTACGACGTTAGTACAACGTTCGAACAAGTTTTAACTCCTCCTAACCTGTTATAACAACCAATATAATAAGTTGTAACAACGTTCTAAGACGTCATAAACACGTTAAGCCAAAATATAACAACTTTATTACAAGTTGTAACAAGCGGAAGATAGAGACAGTTTCGGTTTGTGTTTGCAGAGTTGTACTTGTGTCCTCAACACCCGGTCATTACCACAACCAGCCTAATGACCACTTCACTCAACATCACTATTAATAATCACCATTGGTAACTATGGTCAGAAGGGGTCACCATTTTCGTGAAGAATCATCACCATCAGTGTGTCACCGTCGTTACTCACACCCTCCGGGTTCGATCCCCGACGGGAGGCGGACACAAATAAGAAGTTTCTCTTTCATCCTGATGCACTTGTTCACCTAGCAGTAAGTAGGTATCTGGGAGTTAGTTGCTACGGTCTGCTTCCTGGACGGGGGGGTGATAAAATATAACTTGATTGACAGTTTAGAGGCGGGCCCAAAGAGCTAGAGCTCAACCCCCCGCAAGCACAACTAGGTGAGTACACCATGAGCTCTCGTCGTCATTGTATAGAGTCTTCACTATCGTCACCAGTGTTGTATCACCATACAACACCGTCACCAGTGTTGTATCACCATACAACACCGTCACCAGTGTTGTATCACCACACAACACCGTCACCAGTGTTGTATCACCACACAACACCGTCACCAGTGTTGTATCACCATAGAACACCGTCACCAGTGTTGTATCACCATAGAACACCGTCACCAGTGTTGTATCACCACACAACACCGTCACCAGTGTTGTATCACCATAGACACACCGTCACCAGTGTTGTATCACCACACAACACCGTCACCAGTGTTGTATCACCATACAACACCGTCACCAGTGTTGTATCACCATACAACACCGTCACCAGTGTTGTATCACCACACAACACCGTCACCAGTGTTGTATCACCATACAACACCGTCACCAGTGCTGTATCACCATACAACACCGTCACCAGTGTTGTATCACCATACAACACCGTCACCAGTGTTGTATCACCACACAACACCGTCACCAGTGTTGTATCACCATAGAACACCGTCACCAGTGTTGTATCACCATAGAACACCGTCACCAGTGTTGTATCACCACACAACACCGTCACCAGTGTTGTATCACCACACAACACCGTCACCAGTGTTGTATCACCATACAACACCGTCACCAGTGTTGTATCACCATACAACACCGTCACCAGTGTTGTATCACCATACAACACCGTCACCAGTGTTGTATCACCATACAACACCGTCACCAGTGTTGTATCACCATACAACACCGTCACCAGTGTTGTATCACCATACAACACCGTCACCAGTGTTGTATCACCATACAACACCGTCACCAGTGTTGTATCACCATACAACACCGTCACCAGTGTTGTATCCCCACACAACACCGTCACCAGTGTTGTATCACCCACACAACACCGTCACCAGTGTTGTATCACCCACACACAACACCGTCACCAGTGTTGCTCCCCACACAACACCGTCACCAGTGTTTGTATCACCACACAACACCGTCACCAGTGTTGTATCACCACACAACACCGTCACCAGTGTTGCTCCCCACACAACACCGTCACCAGTGTTGCTCCCCACACAACACCGTCACCAGTGTTGCTCCCCACACAACACCGTCACCAGTGTTGCTCCCCACACAACACCGTCACCAGTGTTGTATCACCACACAACACCGTCACCAGTGTTGCTCCCCACACAACACCGTCACCAGTGTTGCTCCCCACACAACACCGTCACCAGTGTTGTATCACCATCATCAGTCCTCAACAGAAAACATCATCCTTTTGTAATCCACAGCACAATAATCACTCGTACTCATCATGGTAGCCACCGGATTGATCACCATGATTTGCAATTATCATCATTAGTTACATTTTTTACCATTCTGCTTTCAATAAATATTCTGTGGCTGGGTCGTACCAGACACTACGACCAGAGGCAGGGTCGTACCAGACACTACGACCAGAGGCAGGGTCGTACCAGACACTACGACCAGAGGCAGCGTCGTACCAGACACTACGACCAGAGGCAGGGTCGTACCAGACACTACGATCAGAGGCAGGGTCGTACCAGACACTACGACCAGAGGCAGGGTCGTACCAGACACTACGACCAGAGGCAGCGTCGTACCAGACACTACGATCAGAGGCAGGGTCGTACCAGACACTACGACCAGAGGCAGGGTCGTACCAGACACTACGATCAGAGGCAGGGTCGTACCAGAGGCTACCCGATAATTCTACAAAATAACAGCTTCCCGTTCTTGGGTACTGGCAGCCAGTTAGGCCTATATGTGTACCACTAGCTACCGGCGGACCAGACCCTGCAGGAAGCCTCCCACAACAGGCGGGTGTCTCCCACGTATACCCCCCCCCCCCCCAGGTGAACAGAGCCATCGGTTGTGAGACGACTACGCCGCCTACTCCGCTATAGGTCGCTATTGCCTCCTGGACAACACCACTGTGTGAAAAATATTATTAAAAAAATAGCCCACCAGAAGAGCCTGATTAAAAAAGTTTTCAGGTCACACGCTATGTAGCGCTTTTTACTGGTTTAATATAAGTAATAATTCAATAAGGATGAAGCAAAATGTAATACTTAAAGTTACAATGATTCAGACCTCAGCGGGGACTGACCAATCACCTTCACGTTGACCTTCGGAACTGTTACCTAAAGGTGACCTCTTCCGGCACTGTGTTATGGGGTTAGTAGCAGCCCCTGGACGAGCAGCGGCCCCTGGACGAGCAGCAGCAGCCCCTGGACGAGCAGCAGCCCCTGGACGAGCAGCAGCAGCCCCTGGACGAGCAGCAGCAGCCCCTGGACGAGCAGCAGCAGCCCCTGGACGAGCAGCAGCAGCCCCTGGACGAGCAGCAGCCCCTGGACGAGCAGCAGCAGCCCCTGGACGAGCAGCAGCAGCCCCTGGACGAGCAGCAGCAGCCCCTGACGAGCAGCAGCAGCCCCTGGACGAGCAGCAGCAGCCCCTGGACGAGCAGCAGCAGCCCCTGGACGAGCAGCAAGCAGCAGCCCCTGGACGAGCAGCAGCAGCAGCCCCTGGACGAAGCAGCAGCAGCCCCTGGACGAGCAGCAGCAGCCCCTGGACGAGCAGCAGCAGCCCCTGGACGAGCAGCAGCAACCCCTGGACGAGGAGCAGCAGCCCCTGGACGAGCAGCAGCAGCCCCTGGACGAGCAGCAGCAGCCCCTGGACGAGCAGCAGCAGCCCCTGGACGAGCAGCAGCAGCCCCTGGACGAGCAGCAGCCCCTGGACGAGCAGCAGCCCCTGGACGAGCAGCAGCAGCCCTGGACGAGCAGCAGCAGCCCCTGGACGAGCAGCAGCAGCCCCTGGACGAGCAGCAGCCCCTGGACGAGCAGCAGCCCCTGGACGAGCAGCAGCAGCCCCTGGACGAGCAGCAGCCCCTGGACGAGCAGCAACCCCTGGACGAGGAGCAGCAGCCCCTGGACGAGCAGCAGCCCCTGGACGAGCAGCAGCCCCTGGACGAGCAGCAGCCCCTGGACGAGCAGCAGCCCCTGGACGAGCAGCGTCTGCCTGGTCATCTCCACACTGCCAGGTCCTTTATATTCCAGGTCCGGTATGAATAATAATTTAATCTCTTTGAATTTGCTCGTGTGGACGACCGTGTCTCGTCCTCCTCCGAGTCCCCTCTCACCCGTGGCGTCCAGTCCACGAGTCCTCTCTCACCCGTGGCGTCCAGTCCACGAGTCCTCTCTCACCCGTGGCCTCCAGTCCTCGAGTCCTCTCTCACCCGTGGCGTCCAGTCCTCGAGTCCTCTCTCACCCGTGGCGTCCAGTCCAGGAGTCCTCTCTCACCCGTGGCGTCCAGTCCTCGAGTCCTCTCTCACCCGTGGCGTCCAGTCCTCGAGTCCTCTCTCACCCGTGGCGTCCAGTCCACGAGTCCTCTCTCACCCGTGGCGTCCAGTCCAGGAGTCCTCTCTCACCCGTGGCGTCCAGTCCACGAGTCCTCTCTCACCCGTGGCGTCCAGTCCACGAGTCCTCTCTCACCCGTGGCCGTCCAGTCCACGAGTCCTCTCTCACCCGTGGCGTCCAGTCTACGAGTCCTCTCTCACCCGTGGCGTCCAGTCCTCGAGTCCTCTCTCACCCGTGGAGTCCAGTCTACGAGTCCTCTCTCACCCGTGGCGTCCAGTCCACGAGTCCTCTCTCACCCGTGGCGTCCAGTCCTCGAGTCCTCTCTCACCCGTGGCGTCGAGTCCTCTCTCACCCGTGGCGTCCAGTCCACGAGTCCTCTCTCACCCGTGGCGTCCAGTCCACGAGTCCTCTCTCACCCGTGGCGTCCAGTCTACGAGTCCTCTCTCACCCGTGGCGTCCAGTCTACGAGTCCTCTCTCACCCGTGGCGTCCAGTCTACGAGTCCTCTCTCACCCGTGGCGTCCAGTCCACGAGTCCTCTGACCTACGTCATTCACTCTTCATCATTCAGAGTGACAACTTCACTCTGTGATCTTGGTGATTCCGTTATCAAGATTAATCGCTAACATGTTTACTATTTATTAATAATATCGATCCCGTAATTATATGAATGTGAGAGAGAACTAAACATAATT